TCCTCCTCCTCCTCCTCCTCCTCCTCCTCGGTGCGCAATTGGCGCTGCCCCGCGGCGCCGTCCGCGTGCTTCGCCGCGTTCTCCGCGAAGCCCTGCACTTCGGCGGCGGCGATCACAAGAGGCTTCTCGCAGCCCCCTGGCACCGGCAGCTCCAGGCCGTTGAAGACGTGGAAGAACTTATCGGCGACCTCACAGACGAGCGAACTTTCGCTGAAAACCGATCCCTGGTCCTAAGACGACGCCGGGACGAGGAGAAAGCTATGTAAGGATAAATCGAGCCGCGGCCTCCTCGGAGCCCTCCGGGACGCCCTGAGAGCGCTCCGGAACACTCTCCAGCGGACTTCTCCCTGTCCTGGCCCCGTCCGAGGCCCCCTCCCGGACGCCACCCTGACCAGTTTTCCGAGCTGCGCCCAGGCGGGGCCACGAGGGGCGCCCTCGAGGCCCGAAAGAGGCCACAAAGGTCGCCCTGAGTAGCCCCGTCATCGGCTCATTCGCGATTCAGTCAAAACTGAGAGTAAGGATGCACGACAAGGATGCAAGGGCCTTGGAAGGCCATGCCGACAGTTTTCGAGCGGGGCGCGGCCAACGGAAGAGGAAGGATTGGCCGAAGGGAAGAGAGGCAAGGGAAACCTTGGGACGTCGCTCCTCCTTACTATCAGTGCTGACTGTAATGCCCCTGACCGGCCCCACCCGCCTGCCCTTCCTCTCCCCGGGGGGCTGTCTCGACTCGCGCCCACGCCGTCCGGGAACTGGCCATAGCTGAGCATTTCCAGACGGCGCCGGCGCGAAGCGTGGCGTGACCGGCTCCCTCCCCCCTCCCCCCCATCCCCAGTCACGCCCTTGTTACCTAACAGCGAAGACTGATAGGTTTCTAGTGGGCTCAAAAGAGAGCATCTTGACTCCCCAGGGGGGTCTGGGCGGATGCCGAAGAGAATCCGGGGACTCCCCGGGACTCCCCAGGGGGGTCTGAGCGGGTGCCGGGGCGAATCCAGGGACTCCCCAGAACACCATTCCCAGGCCACATTTTGAATGCCCGGAACCAACTGCAGGCCACTTCGCGTTCTTCGTGTTCCCGGAGCACCATTCCCAGGCCACATTTTGAATGCCCGGAGCCAACTGTAGGCCACTTCGTGTTCTTCGTGTTCCCAGAGCATCATTCCCAGGCCACATTTTGAATGCCCGGAACCAACTGCTGGCCACTTCGCGTTCTTCGTGTTCCCGGAGCACCATTCCCAGGCCACATTTTGAATGCCCGGAGCCAACTGTAGGCCACTTCGTGTTCTTCGTGTTCCCGGAGCACCATTCCCAGGCCACATTTTGAATGCCCGGAGCCAACTGTAGGCCACTTCGTGTTCTTCGTGTTCCCAGAACACCATTCCTGTACCATATTTTGATTGCCCGGAGCCAGCTGTGGGCCACTTCGTGATCTTCGTGTTCCCAGAACACCAGTCCTGTGCCATATTTTGAATGCCCGAGCTGAGGCAGGCTGAGGCCGACGCAGGCTGAGGCCGAGGCAGGCTGAGGCTGAGGCTGAGGCACGCCGAGGCAGGCTGAGGCTGAGGCTGAGGCAGGCTGAGGCTGAGGCAGGCTGAGGCTGAGGCTGAGGCTGATGCAGGCTGAGGCGAGGCAGGCTGAGGCTGAGCCGAGGCAGGCAGACTGAGGCTGAGGCTGAAGAGGCTGAGGCTGAGGCTGAGGAGGCTGAGGCTGAGGCTGAGGCACGCCGAGGCAGGCTGAGGCTGAGGGCTGAGGCAGGCTTAGGCTGAGGCAGGCTGAGGCTGAGGCTGACGCAGGCTGAGGCCGAGGCAGGCTGAGGCTGAGGCTGAGGCAGGCTGAGGCTGAGGCAGGCTGAGACTGAGGCTGAGGCAGGCTGAGGCTGAGGCTGAGGCTGATGAAGGCTGAGGCTGAGGCTGAGGCTGAGGCCGAGGCAGGCTGGCTGAGGCTGAGGCAAGCCGAGGCAGGCTGAGGCTGAGGCTGAGGCTGACGCAGCTGAGGCTGAGGCTGAGGCAGGCTGAGGCTGAGGCAAGCTGCGGCTGAGGCTGAGGCTGAGGCTGAGGCTGATGCAGGCTGAGGCTGAGGCTGAGGCTGAGGCAGGCTGAGGCTGAGGCTGAGGCAGGCTGAGGCTGCTGAGGCTGAGGCTGAGGGGATGAGGCGAGGCTGAGGGCTGAGGCAGTGAGGTGAGGCAGGTGAGGCTGAGGCTGAGGCAGCTTTCAGGCGAGACAGGCTTGAGGCTGAGGCTGAGGCTGAGGCGAGGCAGCCGAGCAGGACTGAGGCTGAACGGGGGGGAAGGGGGAAAGGGAGGCTATGCAGGCGAGGCCGGGCAGGCTAAGCCGCTGTGCTGAGGCTGAGGCAGGCGAGGCAGGCTAGGCTGAGGCAGGCTGAGGCTGAGGCAGGCTGAGGCTGAGGCTGAGGCTGGCAGGCTGAGGCTGAGGCAGGCTGAGGCCGAGGCAGGTTGAGGCTGAGGCTGAGGCAGGCTGAGGCTGAGGCCGAGGCAGGCTGAGGCTGAGGCTGAGGCAAGCCGAGGCAGGCTGAGGCTGAGGCTGAGGCTGAGGCAGGCTGAGGCATCCGTAGGAATCCATAGGAATCCTTAGGAATCCCTAGGAGTCCTTAGGAATCCGTAGGCATCCTGAGGAATCCGTAGGCATAGTTAAGCATCCTCAGGAATCCTTAGGAATCCGTAGGATTCCGTAGGAATCCTTAGGAATCCCTAGGAATCAGGATTCCTAAGGATTCCTAAAGATTCCCATGGATTCCGAAGGATGCCTAAGGATGCCTTAGGAATCCCTAGGAATCCTTAGGATTCCATTGGATCCTAAGGCCGTTGCCACTGCGACTGTCATTGCGAATGCGACTGCGACTGCGAGAACAGCAGAATTCTACAACTGGATTCTCACCTGAATCTTAAGGGGAATGCTTCCAGAGATGCCTGTACACATCGCTGTCAGGTTGCTTTGCCGAGATGAGATGTGTTGGCTGCACGAGCCCCGTTGTGACACGAAGATCTGGTCGAGAGGCTCGGCCCAGAGGACGACGGGGAAGCGAGGGAGGGGAGGGGAAAGACGAGGCCGGGGGAGAAGCAGCCACGGCCCCGGAGCGCAGAGACGACCTCCCCGGCCCACCCAGGCGAGCGGCAGGGGGCCCGCACGGCCCGGGACGCCTCGCGCCGTGGAGGGCTCGCAGAGCGGAAGGCTCCCCGGCAGAGCGCCGGCGGAGGCCAGGAGGAGGAGGAGGAGGAGGAGGAGGAGGAGGAGGAGGAGGAGGAGGAGGAGGAGGAGGAGGGAGGAGGAGGAGGAGGAGGAGGAGGAGGAGGAGGAGGAGTGCTCTGGATCCACCGACCTCGGGAGAGATGAGATTCACGAAGGCCACGCCCCGATTGGTCTTCCTGCGCGCGTCCATCGGCATGTCCGCCGACCCCCGCCCTGCTGGGGGGCGGACGAGGCTCATGAGATGCTTGGCACACCCTGCCAAAAACGCTCCCGCCTCCCAGGCGGGCCACTGAGGACCGCCCAACTCGCGATGGCTCACGACGGCACGCGGCCGAAGATGGCCAAAGGTTGCCTGCAGGCTGGCTTCCAAGGAGCTTCACGCGGGCCCAAGAGCGGGCGCCAGGGTGGCTGCCCCGCACACCTCCCAAAGACCCCCTGGGGCGAACGCCGCTGATGGTCTTCCCATGGACCCGGCATCCTGGCCTCTGCTGCCCCCAGGTGGGCCCCGGGAGTCCCGAGCAGGCTGCGGTGCGGAGGCCTCCAAGAGGATCCCCCGGAGAGCCTGGGAGGGCTCCCCCCCCCCTCCCCCGCCACCTCCCACGGCTTCACTCTCAGGCCACCCGGGCCCGAGGGACCCGGTGGCCCCTCTGCCGAGCTTTGCCCCCCCCCCCCCCGGCGCAGGTCCCGACGCTCCGTGTTAGAGACTGACTGCCTACCAGACCGCCCCAACCCAACCCGAAGACACGAATTGGACCCGAATTTCGGGTTGGGGGGGGGGGGGTACGGGGACCATGTATAGGGAGCCCACAAAGGACGTACGCCCCCAGCTATGTACATGAACACGGCCCCTCGATTCGCGAGACCGGCCGCGTTATACGAACATTTGTGAAATGCGTGCTCTCGAAAACAGCGTGGATTCATGTACATGTACGTCCTTCTTTCGCTCCTGAATGTAATTTTTCGGTGTTCCCCGATCCCTCCCACTGGAAATGGAGGGCAAATTGAAGCCTTCGGGTCGGGTTGGGGTGGTTTGGTGGCTGGTGAGCGACTGGCCGGCGCCGAGCCCGCGGCTCGAGGGCGCGGAGGGCAGCGTGCACCGCCGGGCTGCAGAGCACGGCGAGGGCCCCAGAGGTCGAGCCGAGGCGGGGTACGACAAGCCCGGAGGAGGAGGAGGAGGAGGCGGAGGAGGAGGAGGAGGAGGAGGAGGCGGAGGAGGAGGAGGAGGATCGGAGGAGGAGGAGGATCGGAGGAGGAGGAGGAGGAGGAGGAGGAGGATCGGAGGCGGAGGAGGAGGAGGAGGATCGGAGGAGGAGGAGGATCGGAGGAGGAGGAGGATCGGAGGCGGAGGATCGGAGGCGGAGGAGGAGGAGGAGGAGGAGGAGGAGGAGGGGCAGCAGGAGAACGGGGAGGTTGAGAAGGGGGAGGAGAAGGAGGAGGAGGAGGAGGAGGAGGAGGAGCAGGAGGAGGAAAGGCAGTGGCCGAGCACTCCGCGCGGACTTGCTTCGCACGAACTGCTTTCGTCCTCTATCGGGAGAAGCCAGACGACGCAGGGACGAGGAGAAAACCCTGTAAAGGATAACTCGAGAACCCCTGAGATCCGGCGGCTCCGGAGGATGCCTCGGGCGCCGCGGCCTCCTCGGAGCCCTCCGGGACGCCCTGAGAGCGCTCCGGAACACTCTCGAGCGGACTTCTCCCTGTCCTGGCCCCGTCCGAGGCCCCCTCCCGGACGCCACCCTGACCAGTTGTCCGAGCTGCGCCCCGGCGGGGCCACGAGGGGCGCCCTCGAGGCCCGCAAGAGGCCACAGAGGTCGCCCCGAGGAGCCCCGTCATCGGCTCATTGGGCCGTCCTGAGGATCCCGAAAAGGGTCAGTGACTCTCGTCCTGAGAAGGTCGTCCCGAGGAGGCCGGAAATGCGAACCGTTTATCCGATCCCTGTCCCCAGCGGCGTGGCCTGGGCCCCACTGGCCGATTTACCCCCCTGGATGGGAATATAGGCCATTCCCTTCGGGTTTCGAGGGGTGTATCTCCAGGGGGTCTCGAAGGGGATGGGGATGGGGATGGGGGTCGGTTAAACGATACAGTCGGGCCGCTGAAAGAAGGGACACAAAATAAGGAACGAAGCCCCTTCTTGGCCCTGTAAGCGCCCCCGTGCCCCAGGAGGGCAAGAGGAACAGCACTGGAGGAACCTGAGGAACATCGAGCCCCTTCCGAACCCAAACTGTTCCTTCTTTCAGCGTCCCCACTGTACTGATAGGCGGCGAGCCACGGGGGGAAGTGAGAAGGGGCGTGCCTTCTCAGAAGGCTCGGAAGTCCCCTGGACTTCTGAGCAGTTTTCTAAGCCTTCCCCGAAGACAGACAAAAACTTCTCAGAAGGCGCGAGGGCTTCGGAGAAGTCCCGCCGACTTCTGAGAAGGCCCTCTCCTTCTCGCTTCCCCCCCTCGCTCGCCACTGTGCCGAGAAAACGGTCAGTGACTCTCGTCTGGAGTTTCGAGGGCGTCCGAGAGAGGAGGAGGAGGAGGAGGAGGAGGAGGAGGAGGAGGAGGAGGAGAGGAGGAGGAGGGAGGAGGAGGAGGAGGAGGAGAACGAGGAGGAGGAGGAGGAGGCGGAGGAGGAGGAGGAGGAGGAGGAGGAGGAGGAGGAGAGGAGGAGAGGAGGAGGAGGAGGTTCGCGAATCCTGGCCCGAGGCGCGCGCGCGCGCGGCCCCGGGCGGGGCGGGGGGGGACGGCGCACGGAGCTGCGAGGAGGCGCCGCGGAAGCTGGGAGGCGTCCCGGCCCGGGCCACGACGGCCAGGCCCCTGGAGGTCGGGCGCGTCCTCCTACCAGGCGGATCTGGGAGTACAACAAATGCTCAAAAATGAGCAAACACAGTCTCTCTGTCTCTCTCTCTCTCTCTCTCTCTCTCTCAAACACACACACACACACACACACCTATACAAACACAAACACACACCTACACAAACACAAACACAAACACACACACAAGCACACACACACACACACAAACACAAACACAAAGACACACACAAACACAAACACAAACACAAACACAAACACAAACACAAACACAAACACAAACACAAACACACGCACGCACGCACGCACGCACGCACGCACGCACGCACGCACGCACGCACACACACATACACACACACACACACACACACACACACACACACACACACACACACACACGCAAAAAAAACAAAAACACAAAAAATACTATGGTTTGACTATTTTTGAATACTCCTCCTGTAGAGGGGCGTGCCCGACTTAACCCTAGTCAACCCCCTTTCCTCACCTTACTTTCGGCCTCACCCGAGAAAACGGCAAGGCGTTGGAGGTCCGGGATGGCGCCAGCCTGTGGGATAGAGGAAGTCGAACTGGCCACCGAAACCGTAGTGGCGCAGGAGCTTCGCGAGGCGGTCCTGGCCGGCACGGAATGGAGGGGTGGTTGCAGAAGCGGGCCCTGCACGACTACACCTGCACACCAAAAATGTGCCTGACAAGGGTAGCCGTCGGTCGGAAGAAGTGGGTTGAGGCATGAAGTAGGAAAGCACTGGAACTAGGTTGGGCTTCCACCCGCCCCCTGAAGAGGAGGCAAAAGGGAAACCCCTCGACTCCTGAAGAAGCGCCTAAAGTAGACTGTGATCTGGGAATCCACAGATACCCACTTTCAACGACCAGCGTGCAATCCTGGGCTATTGCATGGTGGACCGACCCTCCTGGAGCAGGAGGGTCTGACCCCATCCGAGGGCCCACCAGGATGGCCCAGACCAGCGACAGGAGATGCGCCCGCTTTCCCCGAGGCTCGATCCGATTCCTAGCCTCTGCTTCTGCGGTCCTGGGGCGCAGGAGGCGGCCCAGGAACCCGAGGCCAACGGAAAAAACTTCAGGGCCCCGTGCGTCCAGGACTCCCTTCTCAGGGAAACGAGACATGACATGAGCATAAAAACTCGGAGGTCTGCGCGGGCTTCTCGGATCCGCGCTGGACCCCCCTGGCGGCGCCTCCGGCGCCGCCCCTGGCGCGCTCCGCGCGTCAGGGAGGGGGCTCCAGCGCCGATCCGAGAAATCCGCGCGGGCCTCCGAGATTGTCTGCAAATGTCATTCTTCGCTCCCCTACTTCTCTCGGCTTGGCGTAAGAGTGACCCTGGGTAAGAGTGACCTCTGGTGCGCAAGAGTGACCCTGGGTAAGAGGGAGCCAAACCCAAGGGCGCGGGCCGCTTATATCGCATCGCGCTCGGCGATCGGGGGGAGCCCGATGAGCCCGCACCAAAGGTCACTCCGGCGAAAGGTCACTCTTACGTGTAGCCGATTCTCGCAGCGGCGGCCCTGCAAACGTCGGGCCCCCCGGGCCGCGTCCAGGCACACGGGGGTGCGGTGTGACCATACGCAGACCCACGGGGAACGCAGCCGTGGCGACGGACAGGCTCTGGGGACCCTCTGAAGCCTCGGGGAACCTCCAGGGACGACGACGACGACGACGACGACGACGACGACGAGGACACGGGAAGTGCCCGTGGTAGGTGTTGCTCAGGGCTCCAACTCTCTGGGCGGGGACCGCCTTCTCGACGCCCTCTCCGCCCAGGCGCCGTGGCGACAAACGCGCGGGAAAGGCTCCTCCTCCTCCCTCCTCCTCCTCCTCCTCTTCTTCCTCCTCCCTCCTCCTCCTCCTCCTCCTCCTCCTCCTCCTCCTCTCCTCCTCCTCCTCCTCCTCCTCCTCCTCCTCCTCCTCTCCTCCTCCTCCCCTCCTCCTCCGCCTCGCCTCGCCTCCTCTCCGCCTCCTCCTCTCCTCCTCCTCCTCCTCCTCCTCGTCCTCCTCCTCCTCCTCCTCCTCCTCCTCCTCCTCCTCCTCCTCCCCCCTGGGAAAAATGATCGATCCCCGCACCTCGATCCCTGAGTGGCATTTCGACCGGCCGATGGGGACGAGTCGGGGCACTCCTGGAACGCCGTCGGGGAGGCGCAACTGCCAGAAGAGCACCCCGAGAAACCCCTGGGGCCAAGAGAGAGGACACTCCTCGAGCCTCCGACATCGGTCCCCGAACCCCGAGCCTGGAACCCCGATCCTCGATGTTCGATGTTCTCGAACCTCGGCGCACGACTCTCGAGCCTCGATTTTGTTCTTGTCGACATGCGCGGGCGCGGGGCCCGCATGGCCCCGCTCCTTAAACCATTCCAGCCTGCGGGCCGCAGCCCCTGACCCAGACCAGAGGAAAACAGATCTCTGGTGGCCGCTCCCAGCCACCTTCGCTGGCGGGCACGTGCAAGGCTACGACGCCGCAGTGCAGGGAGGAGGAGGGGGAGGAGGAGGAGGAGGAGGAGGAGGAGGAGGAGGAGGAGGAGGAGGAGAAAGAGGAGGAGAAAGAGAGGAGAAAGAGGAGGAGGAGAGGAGGAGGAGGAGGAGGAGGAGGAGGAGGAGGAGGAGGAGGAAGAGGGCGCGAGGGTGCTAGGCGTGGGACGCCGTCCGACAGCACAGACAACGGGGAGCTTGGGCGGTGGCCAGCGCGGCCTCCGCCCAGGCCTCAGCGCAGGTCCGAAAACGCGCTGGACACCAGGACTCGCGGGGAGCGCCCACAGCCCCCCACCAGCCTGAACTGGCAGCAGCGGGGACCAGCAGCACATGGCTGGGCCCCGAGGGCAGAAGCCGAATCTGACGACCAAAACCAGACCAACGTCGAGGTCGGACGTGGAGCCGACACGGAGCACGAAGGACCAGGACTCGCGGGGAGCACCCCCGGCCCCCGACCAGCCAAGGCCGGAAGCAGTCCAGCCCAGCGGCCGATGGGCCAGACGCGCGCGGCGCCGAGAACAACGCACGGCAGGCCGCCGCGGCCCGACGCGCCGCCGCAAGACAGGGCCCCCTCGACGAACAGCACGACGCCGAAGTCCAGGGCGCAATGCAGCTGGGACGAACATCGACAGCAGATCGCCGAGGACACCCCTCCTCGCAAACAACGGAAAATCACGGGCGGACAACGGACACGCGGCCTGCAGCCGCGCACCCGTAAGACCACCCGCACCGCCAGGCGGATGCCTCTACATTGCCTGGGGCCACAGCCCCCGAGCGCCGCCAGACCCTATGCCTAGCCACGCGCACCGCCAAGCTGCCTCTACAATGGCGCTGCAGAACTCCTTCCACAATCAAAGGATCGGACGAAGACTTGCAGGAGGGCCCCCCGACCTCCTGCCAGCCAGGACTGGCGGCAGCCCAGACGGGCGACCGCTGGGCCAGACAAACACGGCGCCGAAAAAGACGCACGCCAGGCCGCCGCGGCCCGACACGCCGCCGAAGGACAGGGCCCCCTCGACGAACAGCGCGACCCCCGAAGTCCAGGGCGCAACGAAGCTATAACAAACATCGACAGCAGCTCGCCGAAGACCACCCCTCCAACGAAGGGGCGGTGACCAGCGCGGGAACGAGGGTTAACCTGGGCAGCTGGCTACGCGAACTCCTCGGAGGCACGGCCCAGCGGCCGAAGGGAAAGGCGTCGCTCTGGGTCGACGGGCGGCCGACGAGGGCCAAAGCTTCACCCGCTTGCCCGAAGCCGCGCAATGGCAGCGGCGAAGTCGAACTCACTCCCGAGCAGGGGCGCAGAGGTAGTCAAAGTGGATCGTTGCCCCTGAATTGCCGAGAGACCCTCGCCCTGCGCAGACGCCCTCGAACGTTCGAAAGATGCCCGCCTGGCCTCACTGGGCGGCCCACAGCTACTGGCGCAGGGCGCCGCTGAGCGCCCCCAGCGCGACCAGAACGCACAACGCCCACTGAAATCATAGCCCCAGCGCGCCGAAGCCGATGACCATCGCGCACAACGACCTCCTCGGCGCCCCAGCATGATGCGACGAAGCCCTCAATAGCTGGCCAGAGAAACACACGGCCCTCCTCCTCGAAACGGCCAACTGCCCCCGTGGCCCCCGCCGCCTCAAAGAACAGAACCAAGAAAGCACCGAACTTCTGGAATGGGCCCCAGCACCGAAGCCACCGACGACCGCGGGCGAAAACAATGCCCGATGAAATTAAGCACGAGCGGGGCCGGCCTTGACCTGCGTCGAAAAGACGGAAACCCCCACGCATGAGAGCTCCAGTCGAGAGCCGAGCCACGGCACGCTGCACCATGGTCAATGCTGGCTTGTGCCCGCAGCGAACCTCGGGCACAAATTCAGCATATATACTTCGCGCGCGCGCCACCTCGCCCACGCCAGATATTGCACGCATGTGCGATGCTGTCTACCCCCATCTTGAACACCTCCTGATACACGGTGCGCAGCCCGCGCTCCAACACCCCCCCCTTGCCCACGTCGCAGATCTGCGGCGCGCTCAACCCCGCGCGCCCCCGAGCGGACTCACAAGCCGCCGCCCGCAAGAATTGCTTCCGTCGAGAGCGGCCATCTTTATATGCCTCCAAATCGCAGCGTGACAAGCTCCAGCTGCATCGAGCTCCACTGGCCACGCAGCCCCCCCCCCCCCCCCCCGCACAACGCCAGCAAGCCGGCGCACGCGAACTGAAAATTCAACGTCGGCTCGAAAGCCACGGGGGCGGCAAACCTCTCAGCCCTGCCGACAGACACCAGCGGGCCAGGCAGCGGGCCGAAGGCCACGCGCATAGGTTGACCCACCTGGCTCAATGACGAACACCCATCCACACCCCATGACCTCAGGCACCGCCGACGAAGACCTGACGCGTCAGAAAAGATGCCGCTGCCCCAGCAGGTCTGGTCGGAGCCCCAGTCGCCTCGCACCTTCTAGGGATGAAACGCCTCGGTAGAACACGGTTTCAAACCATCTCCGCGCGGCTCGCCGACGAGCGCGAGCCACTGGTCGCGCAGGTAGTGCCTGATCTCGTCGAGGCCATCAGGCAACACCCCCTGCGGAGCTCTTTACCGCATCCACTGACCGCGATCAGAATCCAAAAGCACCGCCACTGACAGCTCGCCCATGGCCCACAGAAACTCCAGTTCCGAATTGTGGGCGAGCGCCGAATCTGAAGATGACCTCACACCTCCAAGCACCCGAATATCCGCCGCAGCGTTCTGCCCCAGCCAACCCTTGGCAATGGGGCCGCGCACCCGAGACCACCGCCCAAACGTAAAATCCAAGAGAGCAGTGAGCCGACTGCCGCCCCAGGCCCGAAGGTCGAGGGGGACGCGCCATCTCACAACATCCGAAACATGACTAGACGCCATCAAAGCAATCTTGCCAGGGAAGATTGATGCCTTCACTGGAATGGAAAGAACTTCGTCCTTCACCATTCCGACGATAAGGCTGGGCAGCGCGAGCCCGCCCTCGAAGCCCCCCGGCTCGCGCTGCGGCCCCGCCGCGGGCCCTGCCGCGCGACGCCTCCAAATCCGACGCCGCGCGCGTCCATTCCGCACTCGCAGGAAGCCCGCGCCGCCGCCGAAAAAACGCGACCCCTCGATGGCGCGGCACGCA